TAAAGCATTGGAGGACAGACTTGAAAGCCAAGTGGCGTCTGTCTTCATCTAGATACACAGGGACACATCTGTTTGGCTCCATCCTGGATTCACATGTTAGTGAGGGCAAGGACAAACGCAAGGTCCTATGACATCCCTCCAAGAAACTAGGCAGGAGGTCATCTCAGGACTTCCATAAACAAGCCTTTCGTCCCAGCGGTTCTTGGGAGTGGAGGCAGCCCTTTAGATCAGGGCAATCCTGGGACTGGTCGAGAGGCTCGCGATCCTTCTATCCCAGACAGGATCGTTTCCAGGATCGCCAAAACACTGGAGCCAGAGGCCAGTTTCAGGCTAAGCATCCATTCAGGGGAGCAGGAGGCCGCGCTTACAGGCGGTCTAAGTGACGCCAGGGAGGGCTCTCCCATTGGGGGCAGACTACAAAAGTTCAGCGACGTCTGGGAAAGTACCGCCTCAGACACTTGGGTAGTAGAGACTATCAAGTACGGTCTCACCCTAGAATTTTACTCTACCCCACCGAACCGCTTCTTAAGATGCCCTCTCTCCCGAAACAGGGTCAAAACAGACCTGATGACTTCGGCCATATCTCATCTGGTCGAAATTCAGGCTATAGAACCAGTACCAAAGGAGCAGGAGGGAATGGGGTTTTACTCCATTCTGTTTCTGGTCCCCAAGTCCTCAGGGGAATGGAGGGCAATACTAGATTTAAAGGGATTAAATTATTTTTTGACCTACAGAAGGTTCAAGATGCAGTCCCTAAAATCCATATTGGCCAGCATCAGGAAGGGAGACTTTCTCTCTTTGATAGACCTCATAGAGGCTTATCTACATATTCCCATCCACCCTCAGTATCGCAAGTTCCTCAGGTTTTGCTATGCGCACCGACATTACCAGTACAGGGCCCTACCATTCGGCCTGTCCTCAGCCCCAAGAGTCTTCACGAAGGTTTTAGCAGTCATAGCGGCTCATCTCAGGCTGAGGCCGGTGCGCGTGCAATGTTACCTGGACGATATCCTAGTCCAGTCCAGCTCTTTTCAGACAGCAAAACGGGATGTTCAGATCACGATACTCACCCTGCAGAATCACGGGTTCTCCGTGAACTTCAAGAAGAGCCACATCACTCCAACTACAACACCTGGGAGCAATAATAGACTCGTCCCATTGCAGAGTTTATCTCTCTCAGGAGCGTCGGACCAGCATCAGGAAACTGGTTCATCTGGTCCGCAAGGACAAGAGAGTGTCTTTGGCACAGCTGTCAAAGCTCCTCAGAAAGATGATCTCTTGCATGGGCATTGTTCCGTGGGCCAGACTCCACTCCAGGCTTTTACAGTGGTTCCTTCTTCCTTACCAAAGGCGAAATCTCAGTGCTTCCAACAGGAAGGTCACAGTTCCGCACCACACATTGTGGTCCCTTCTTTGGTGGACAACATCTGCGATGAGCAAGGGAGTCATATTCAGGGAACCGAACCGGGTCATCCTCACAACAGACGCGAGTCTGTTTGGTTGGGGAGCTCACCTGGGCACCCACCTGACCCAGGGACAGTGGTCCCGCTTAGATCTTGCCCAAAACATCAACTGGCTCGAACTTCGGGCAATTCACCTGGCGCTCCTTCAATTCTCTTCCCTAGTCAAGGGGAAACATGTCCTCGTCAGGACAGACAATGTGGCGGCCAAAGCACATGTCAACAAAGAAGGAGGGACCAGGTCCTGGGACCTGATGCGAGAGGCATCGGCCCTGGGAATCTGGGCGGAATCAAACCTGGCCTCCATAAGGGCAGAACACATATTGGGGGAGGCAAACCGCCAGGCAGACTCCCTAAGCAGAGTCAAGTTGGACCATGCGGAGTGGCAGATGGATCCAGCTCTGTTTCAGGAGATCACGTTGAGGTTCGGTCGACCCCACCTGGACCTGTTTGCCACCCCGACAAATACACAGACTCCCAGGTTCTTCTCCAGATTTCAGACACACGGAGCAGAAGGCACAGATGCCCTTCGCTGCCGGTGGCCGGCACAACTGTTGTACGCCTTCCCGCCTCTTCCTCTGATTCCGGCGACCATACGCAAGTTGATCCTGGAAGGAGCAGAGCTAATCTTGATTGCTCCACATTGGCCACGGCGTCCGTGGTTTGCCGACCTGGTGGATCTTTCGGTATCTCCCCCGTGGAGGATTCCTCTAGACCGAGTGGTCCTCAGCCAGGGCAACCTCCTTCATCCAGATCTGCAGTGGCTCCAACTAGCCGCTTGGCATTTGAGCGGGAAAGTTTAGCCAGGCAGTCTTATTCATCTGAGGTGATCTCTTTGATACAGGCTTCTAGATGTCCTTCAACAAACAGGATCTATGACGCCACATGGAAGGGTTTCTGCAAGTGGTGTCTTGTGCATACATTAGATCCACTCTCGGTCACCATTCCAAACATTCTAGATTACCTATTGGAGGGTTTGAATAAGGGTCTATCGCACAGTACTATCCCCACAGGCAACTAGCGGCCCTTTCTTCTATCCTTTCCTGCGACAATTCTAGCCCTTTGTCGCAACATCCGGCAGTCAGCGCTTTCTTGAAGGGGGTGGTCAATACCAGACCTCCCGTTGTGCATTGCTATCCTTCTTGGGACCTGACCAAGGTGTTGAAGGCCCTGACTTCAGCCCCATTTGAACCTCTCAGTTCGTGTTCTTTACATTTTTTGTCTTTGAAGGTAGCCTTTCTGGTGGCTATTACTTCAGCCAGAAGAATATCAGAATTAGCAGCTCTCTCGGTCAGAGAGGAGTTATGCACTTTCTTCGATGACAGAGTGGTCCTTAGGCTGGATCCCACTTTCATTCCAAAGGTAAACACTATTTTTCACAGATCTCAGGAACTTATTCTACCAAACTTCTGTCCTAATCCCAGGCACAGGTTGGAACGTGAGTGGCACAAGCTAGACGTACACAGGGCCCTGTATATCTCAGGCCTATTCTTCCTTGTCTCTCCCTGTTCCTTCACATATCATGGCTCAGTCAACAAGCAGTGCTGCTGCGTCGGCCGTGTGGTCCACGCAAGCTTCGATGGAGGAGATTTGCAGAGCCGCAATGTGGTCTTCTCCTTCGGCCTTTGTCAGACATTACCGTGTGGATGCCTTTGCGGCGGCTGACGCCGCGTTTGGCAGACGTGTACTTCAACAGGTTATTTCTTCACATGATTCTAGGGCCTAGACTCTTCCCTCCCGAGGGGACATGAGGGCTTTGGTATGCCCCATCTGGTGGATTCTACAGACATCCTGCTGGAGAAGGGGCGTTGTCTTACCTGAACGCCTTTTCTCAGCAGGATGATGTAGAATCCACACACCCCCATATAACTAGTCTAGGCAGGTGTATCACGATTGGAGCTATTAAGTTGAGATTCGTCAGAGCTGCTTCGCCTCGTCAAAACTGGAGTCACTCCCAAAGGAGGGGCGTGGCCAAAGTTCTGACCTAGTCTACTAAGCAAGAAGGCTGCTAATAACCCATCCGGTGGATTCTACATCATCCTGCTGAGAAAAGGCGTTCAGGTAAGACAACGCCCCTTCCAAGAGTTCTGTCTTCTTAAGATGTAAAGTGAGGTGGGTCCTTACAGATAATTAGGACTGCAGAAAAAAGCAATTGCAACCAACCTGTCTTCCATTGAGGACCTGTATACTGCAAGGATCAGAAAGAGGGCTGAGAAAATATCTACAGACCTCTCACATCCTGGACATAAATGTTTTCAACTCCCCCCAGGATGCCACTATAGGGCATTGCGTGCCAAAACAATTAGATATAGTTTTTTCCCTCATGCCATCACTTTGCTGAACACCTATTTATTTACCCATGTAGTATAGCTACTACCTTCTCTTATTAGTTTGATTATATTACTTTGTTGTTTGTATGTACACTGAAATCTTATGCACTAGAGGCAAATTCCACGTGTGTCCAATCACATTTGGCCAATAAAAGATTCTGTTCTCTCTTCTCTCCTCCCCTCACCCTTCCATTCCTTTCTATTTCTATTTCTATTATTTCTATTTTTATTATTTCCAGCAATTGAAGAGGGAGTGAAAAAGTCAAGATAGTGGTCACAAACTTGCAAATGAAGCTACACCCTTTTTCTATGTATTGTAATAAAGTAAAAAGGATGTCTTTGATCTCATGGTTGGGGATCAGTGTCATTTTTTTTACTCCTTTCTGTTGGATATCCTGCCAGCAATTCTAGTTAAATTATCTAGTTAAAGATAAGTTATCTAGTTAAAGATAAACATAAGTGAATAAATCAGGATTCAGCAACAGTGCTTGCAATATCTCTTGTTTTGCATTTGCAGATGCCACTATCAAAATATAGTAAAAAAATAATAATCCAGAACTGTCAGGTATTAACAATTTAAACTCCACTTCCCTCCTCTTTGCCACATTTCATGTGTGAAATAGATACTTCCCTCCCTCCCGCGCCTCCTCAGACTACTGTCCAAATTCTTTAAAGATTTGCCTTTGCCATTTTGAAAAAAAATTAAATTGGGCACCCCATTTCTTATGCACATGAGTAATATGAGTAATAGTGCAAAATAAGGTTATAATCAGGCCCAGAAAATGTTAAATATAGTGGGGTAGTGTTCCCTTAAAGAGCTCTAGATAAGCCAAGGGATTGATTTAGAACAGAGTATGCTAAATCAAAGATGACTTGGCTCTTCCCTTTTACCAGTTAAAGCAGAGGATCTTTCTAAACAGAACCCTCCAAAACAATACTTTCCTTCCAATAGAAGCTAAATGAAAGCTCAGCTGCTCCTAAGTCTAAGACAGAAACCAAATCCTTTTAAATGGGGAATATCTCCCCATTGGTGAGCAATATTTTTCAAACTTGGCAACTTCAAGATGCATGGACTTCATCTCCCAAAATCCCCCAGCCAGCACACTTTGAAGCCTGCACATCTTAAGGTTGCTCAATTTGAAAAACACTGCTCTATAGTTTCATTTGATAGCATCACAGCTATCAAATATTTAAAATGCTTTTATCATACCTTGTAGTCTCCAAGTTGTTTTTGTAATTCTGACTGATGATCATCTTCTACCTCTTTGCCCTGATGTTTCTCCAACAGAGGCAAGAACTGCCGGAGGGCATAGGTACAGTATCTGTTCCAACGTGTCAAGTGGTTTGGCCGCCATTCCATGATTTTTTCTTTTAATATCTTCTCAAGCCTGCATTTATAATTTTTTTAAAACATTGTTAAATCTGCATTTGAAATTCTGAGGATATTCTGCAACTTTTTGATGCAGAACATCAAGAATGAGCTAGCAAGAATGACGTATTTGCCTTGGTAAACAAATAGCTAAATAAACTACATTAGAAATGTAATTTCTGGCTTCTCTATATAAAATATGTTTGGTTTACAAAAAGATATGGAAAAGGCTACCGTTTAGATTCCTACCATTTTTGAATTGAAACATAAACCCCATATTTTAGTAATAACATTTGATGTCAATTTTCATAATGGAAAATGAGAGAGCAGCACCAGCGTTGGTGTTGCTATCTCATCAGCTAGGGAACTAGATGAGAACAGGACTCAATATCTGTCTTCTGAAGTTCTTTCCATCTTTTCAATTGTGTCAACATGATAAAGGTATTCCTTCAGTTTTGGGAAAAGTGAAGATGGCATGACATCAAATCTGCATGGCAGATAGAATAATACAATGAAATCCAACCACACAATTGTATCTTTGGTAGCTTGCGATATATGAAACGTAATGTTTCAGCAAAATCTCCTTGCACTTACAAACCCTGTTTAATTGTTTGAAATTAACTTGAGACATTGTTTTAAGTGTTGCAATGTATTGTCAGACTTGTCCTGATTTAGATGTTTAGGAAAGAAAAACCCTTGACTCCATTTGATTGAAGTGATAGGTCCTTTTATTAAAATTAAGCAGTTGCAGCGAAAGTAAAGCTAGATCTGAATATTCCAGGACAAAGGTTACACATTTTCCCTTTCCCTGGTCCTCCCTCCTTGGCCAATTCACCAGTGTCCAATAGTATTCCTTTTGATGTTTTGGGAACCGCTTTAATGCTTGACACCTCTCTATGTAGTTTCACATTCTGTTCCCAGGCCAGCTGTCCTTGACAGCTGGCTTATTCTGGTTTAACACCTCTGGTTCTCATCAGCTTGTCTCCCCCCTTCCATTTGTTTTCCCTTTCCCATACCCAAGCATTACTTCCCCAAATTCCTTCCCTTCTCCCTCCTTGCAAATTGTGGCAGTATGCCAGTGAAGCAAAGAAGCTGAAGATGTCAGACCTGACAGTATTGCTGAGCTGACAGTGCTGCCAAGTTTAAGAAAATCTATGTAATCTATGTAAATAAATATCTCTGTCCCAAGGAATTGTAGCTATGAGTTTTCCTGCTGAAGCCTGAGTGTTACATTTTCTCCTTCTCTTTGTGATGATATTGCATGGACCAATACTAATTTCTGGGTCATAATGATGAGTTCATATTCCATAAACTGTCAGGATGCTATAAAGAAATTCCTCACTTTCATTCTTGTAATGTGACAACTGCTGTAAATTTCAGTTCTTGAACTTTCTTCCCTGCCATATAAGGGACCCATTTTGCACAAATCTTCTGATATTGAAGAATATCAGTAATGTCACATTCCTTTGAAAAGCCAAGCTTGACAGCAATTTCCCTTTAATCTGCCAATTGTCCTTTATCAGTTCCTGAACCCTTTTCACATAAAATATATTGGTAGTTATCACAGGTCAACCATTTTATTCTTGATCACACATCTCAATTCTTCCTGGTTTACTACCTTTATATTTTTTGTCCCAGTGACATCATAAACAATCTGCATTTGGCAGTGATTTTCAATTGGAAGGGATCTTTCAACAATCAAAACTCAACCATAGCTATTTTGCCTTTTCTCACAGTCCCTTCAACCGAAGTGAAAGAATAGATTGCAGGTTCTTGCACAGCAGTATTACCATCTGTTGGTAATTTAAAACATTGGCAACCTTAATTTTCAGCCACTGAATATTATGGATGATGCAAAATTACCTGTTCTGTAAATGTAGTGCGACAGTCTTGTCTGCATTTTGGTAGAAGAGTTCTTCAGGCTAATGAAATCAGAAAGAGAAATAATTTAGCTTTTATGAAATTCACTTCAATATTATAGCACTTTAAATTAATTTGTACTTTTATTCTTTCAAGACCTGAAGTGATTAATATGTCATAAGAAAAATTACATTAAAATCATTTTTACTAAATGAATACTACTTATACAATTAGTACATTTGTTGCTTCATTGTTTTATATAATAAGTGATGCTGCTCATTGTTTCAGGTATTTTAATATCAAAATATTCTGGCACAATAGGGCCTCATTTCCTTCGGATGCAAACTCTGGAAATTTATGGAAACATACACAAACAGAACAGTGGAAATAAACAGGCCCAACAGAGCAAATCTTAGAAACCCTTTGGATCGCACTTGTTTTCAGGATTATATGTTTAGTTTCTCTTTCACCTGAGGCACAAATAATTTTTTTCCAGCTCCATCATTCCCAACAGACAACAAGCGGCACAAGCTATAACCAGGCGGCAAGAGAAAAAGCAGAACTCACTTCCCCCTGACACATTTGCCCAACAATTAAAGCAAGGGCTACAAACTGATGCATGGGTTGTGGCTCATCAAACAGAATTGACCATGAAGGATAGGCTGGAGTGGAAAGGGAACAAACTGTATGTCCCAGACAGTTTGCAATTGCAAGTCTTGCAACGCAGTGACAATGCCAAGCAAACAGGCCACTTTGGATTCCTAAAACATTGCATCTTGCTAATCACCAGTTTTGGTGGCCAAAGGTGAAGAAAGACATTGAGAACTATGTGAAGAATTGTGCAGTTTGTGCAGCCAGTAAGAAAGTACTAAGGAAGAGTCCAGGACTGTTGCAGCAGGTGGCTGATTCAACTAGATCCTGGGAGGAGATAGCTATGGACATTATAGTGGAGCTACCAGAGAGTGGAGCAAAACGTGATTTGGACTATGATAAACCTATTTTCCAAGCAAGCCCACTTCATCACATGTGCTGGACTCCCCTCAGCCCAGAAGCTAGCAAAGATATTTTTGCAGCATATCTACTGCATGGCTACATAGAGCACCTAAGCACATTATTTCAGACCAAGGGGTCCAATTTACTGCTAAGTTTTGGAGGAAGTTCGTAAAGATGATTGGGTGCTTCCAGGACTTAGCTCAGCTTTTAATCCAAGTATGAATGGCTCTGCAGAACGAGCTAATGCAATAATGGAGCAGTTGCTATGTCAACTACCAGCAAACTAACTGAGCATGACTCCTGCCATTTTCGGAGATAGCAAATAACAATGCAGTACACAGCAGCACTGGTTTAAGCTAGCCAGAGGGGTGGAATTCGTGCCAATGCCAGAGTGTCCTCAGGAGCCTTCCTCCTCGGGCACCTTAACTGAATGGGTAGACTCGTTCCAACGGGTTTGGAGCGATGCAAAGAAAGTGTTAACTAAGGCAGCCGAGAGTCAGAAAAAACAAGCAGAGATAAGAGGCGAGCTTTACTGGGGGTGTTCCATGTAGGGGATAAAGTGTATCTGTCTACTAAGTATCTTAAGTTGAAACAAACTTGCAAGAGGTTGAGGCTGAAGTAGATAGGTCCCCATCGTAAAAGTCATCAATCTGGTGACAGTAGAACTCACACTACTAAGGATATGGGGTAAAGTACATCCAGTTTTCCATTGCAGCTTACTGAAGCCATATTGGGGATCTACAATGAGACCAGTAGGGAAGGCAGCCCCAGCCCCAATAATGGTGGAGGGGGAAACGCATTATGAGGTCAAACGAATCCTCAATTCCAGAACTCTCAGAGGGACATTACAGTTCTTGATCCAATGGAAGTGTTATCCGTTGTCAGAAGCTAATGGGTAAAAGCTCATCACGTAAAAGCGGATCGTTTGATAAAGCTATTCCACACTAAGTACCCCTGGAAGCCGGGACCAGTGCAAGGGAAAGGTTAATGAGCAGTAACTTCCATTCCTTTTTGTTTTCCAGATTCCCCCTCCTCTTCAGGGGACCAGGCTGTCAAGCTACAAAGATCTATTTTATTAGGACTGCCATATTGCTTCTTGCTTGTCTACAGTTGCGAGGGGAAGGGGGGGTGAGCTTGGAATACACAGGTGTTCCCTATTCGTGTGAGAGCCAAAGCTGTGGAAAGAATGTTTGGATAACTGAAGGTTTCTTCTCATAACAGCTACTGGAAGATTAATAGGTCAATGTGACCTGAACTGTCAGAGAGGGAGAGAAAGTTTTACTGTTTTAGTTATCTGTTTCCCGCCATATTGCCAGAGCTAGCTTTCTTTCTATCTTCTGGTATGTTATTCCTGATGATTAAAGTTTACATTAGAGATTGTTATGTCTCCGGTGTTTTACTTCATTGGGCTTTTCAGCCAGGATTTGACATGAGAATCTTTTCATTACCTGATAAGACCTGGACTTGATTTTTCTTAAATATGTCTTAAATATTTAATACATAGTTACATAAATATTTAATAAATTAAATAATATCTAATACATAGATACATATTTACATAAATCAACTAGTATTAAATATATCTTAAATATGAGCCAGCAGTGTGCTGCAGCTGCCAAAAAGTCAATGTAATCCTAGGCTGCATTAACAGAGGGATAGAATCAAGATCATGTGAAGTGTTAATACCATTTTATAAGGCCTTGGAAAGATCACGCTTGAGATACTGCTTCCAGTTTTGGTTACAACATAAAAAAGATGTTGAGACTCTGGAAAGAGTGTCAAAAGAGCAATAAAGATGATTAAGAGGCTGGAGGCTAAAACATATGAAGTGTTGTGATTCTTCACTAGCCGGTGCATCCGGCAGCCGAGTCTGAGGACTCAGATGAGGAGGAGGGGCCTGGAGTGACATTGGAGTCTGAGAAAGGCTCTGAGGAGCACCAAGACTCAGAGTCAGACAAGGAACCCGGCCCCACTGCCACTCGGGCAGTGACACAGCAGTTTTGGGAGCCTGAGTTGGGTGACAATGAAGAACAGCTGGGGCCAATCCCAGATGCGCAGATGTACAGAGAGGAGAGGCGAGCAAGACAGAAGAAAGTAGTGGGGCAGCTCCAGAGGCAAAAGAAAAGTCATTAAGAAGCCACACCCTGGCTGGACTATAAAAGGGGGAGGTGTGGGAGGTGCTGGTTGCAGAAAGCAACCATTCACGCTGCAGCTTCATGTTTTTGTTGATTGTGTTGCTTGCTTCCGAAGTCTTGGACACTGAGTAGGTGTGTAAAAAATAAAAGGGGTTTCTTTTTCTTGCAGGTCCTACCAGGTTCCATGAAGAGGGGTTCCTCCTCATGAGTAAAGCAGTTGAACAAGTACTCGCATAGGCTGGGACAGAATATGAAGAGTGGTTGCAGGAATTGGGTATATCTAGTCTAGTGAAAAGAAGGAATGTTCCAATATTTGAGGGGCTGCCACAAAGAAGATGGGTCAACCTATTTTCCAAAGCACCAGAAGGCAAAACAAGAAGCAAAAGTGGAAACTAACCAAGGAGAGAAACAACCTAGAATTAAGAAGAAATTTCCTGACAGTGAGAATAATTAACCAGTGGAATGGCTTGCCTTCAGAAGTTGTGGGTGCTCCATCACTGGAGGCTTTTAAACAGAGACTGAAAAGTCATTTGTGTGAAATGGTATAGGATCTCCTGCTTGAGCAGGGAGTTGAGCAGGTCGTTTCCAACTCTGTTATTCTATTACTCTTTTTCTTTTGCCTTGAAGTCAGTGGGGGCAGAAATGAATTAAAGAGAATCAGAACCAGTTTGGTCTAGTAGTTAAATCAGAACCAGTTTGGTCTAGTAGTTAAAAAACCAAGTAGTTAGCAAGGGCAAGGGCAAGGGCTAACTACTTCCAAAAATGTTGCCAAGAAAACTGCAGAGCCTAGTTTAGTATAGCTAGTACTAAAGTAGCTTAATAGAACTACTACTACTAAACCACTTGATGTAATAAGAACTCTGCAGATAGCATTACAAACAACGCAAATAATCAGCAAAGCAAATGCTATTTACTAAACTACTAAAATCATTTATTTATATTATCCCCTTTCAGCAATTTCAGATATAGGTAGACCTTGTTTATGGACCACAATTGGGACCAGAAACTCTGTTGCTAAGTGACATGATCATAAAGTGGAATGTCATTTGATGCCTAGCTTATCAATTCCAGTACAGTCATTGAGCAAATCACCCATAGCCATTAAATGGAATGTCATGTGATTGTGATCTGCAACCTCCTGCTAGCTTTGCTACTGACTTTGCTTGTGGAAAGTTGTCAGGGAAGGTCACAAATGGTGATGACAGGATACTTCAACCAACATAAATGCACACTGGTTGCCAAATGGCCAAATGCTGATCATATGATAGTGAAGATGCTGCAAAGGCCACAACCTTAGGATTAGCTGCATTTTAGAACAGTCACTGAACAACCAGTCAGTAAACAAGGACTACCAGATGGAATACCTGCGGAACTATATAAAAAACAACAAAGTGCACTCAATCAATACCTACTAGAAGTTTTCAACGCAGTATTAACCGATGCTAAAATACCTAAGTCCTGGTCGGAGGCAAATATAATATTGATTCCAAAAGAAGAAGCGGAAAAAACACGGATACAAAATTATAGACCTGTATCATTATTGAATTCTGATTATAAAATTTTTGCCTCAATAATGGCGGAGAGATTCAAAAAATACCTTGTTGATTTCATACATTCTGATCAAAATGGGTTTTTACCAAACAGGCAGACTAAGCGGAATATAAGAACAATTTTAGACATCCTTGAATTTTATGAATCACATAGCGATCGTCAAGTGGCACTTCTGTTTCTTGATGCACAGAAGGCTTTTGACAATGTTAATTGGCAATTTATGATCCAACAACTAAAATCAATGGATGTGGGGGAAAATTTTTTAAACGTGATAACCGCAATATATTCTGAACAAAAGGCCCAGATCATAATAAATGGAGAGGCCACTGATAAATTCAACATACAGAAAGGCACAAGACAAGGATGTCCTCTCTTGCCATTGTTATTCATATATACATTAGAAATTCTTGCTAGAGTAGTAAGACAAGAAGAGCAGATTAAAGGACTTAAGATCAAGAAAGAAACATACAAACTTCAAGCTTATGCAGACGACTTAGCTGGAAAAATTTACATCTCTCATTACTTGGGAGAATTGCCGCAGTGAAAATGAACATCTTACCTAAAATGATATTCCTGTTTCAGAATATTCCAATTCAATTAGACAAGAAATTTTTCAAGGAGCTGAATAAATTAACCTTAGAATTTGTGTGGTCTGGTAAGAAGGCAAAAATAAAATTAAAGGCACTACATGATGCCAAAGAGAGAGGAGGTTTAGGTTTCCCAGATTGGGAGCTATATTACCAAGCAGCGGCCCTAACATGGATTAGAGACTGGATAACCTTAGAAAATAAAAGATGTTTACATTTAGAGGGTTATGACCTCCAGCAGGGCTGGCATGCTCACATATGGATGAGGCAAAGCAGAAATCACCAATATTTTTTCACCAATATTTTTTAAGACATAAGGTTCGGCAAGAATTAATAAAAAGCTGGAATATAGTTAAACATCAATATTACACAAAGATCCCGGCTTGGCTATCGCCATTGGAGGCAGTCACATACCCCAATTTGTACAGGATAGACAAAGCTATTATATATAAAGACATCTTGACAGAAGAAGGTTATTTAAAACAAAAACAAGAGTTAAAACTACAAGGAATAGACATGGAGTGGTGGTCTTATCTCCAGATACAAGCAAGGTACATGAAGGATAAGCAAGAATGGGGAATTAACAGACAAGATACGGGGTTAGATAAAATACTGCTGGGCCCGGAGAAAAAACAAATAAAGAATATTTATAAACACCTGTTGGAACATAAGCTATATGAGGAGCAGGTTGAAGAAACAATGGTGACATGGGCAATAGATCTAGGATATAATATAAATATGGATCAATGGCAGCAAGTATGGGAGCGAAATAACAAAATCACAGTGGCGACATCATATAAAGAACACCTGTATAAGATGGTTTACAGATGGCATCTCCCTCCAGCCAGATTAGCCAAAATGTATAACGGATATTCATCTATGTGTTGGAAATGTAAAAAAGAAAAGGGTACCTTTTTTCATGTATGGTAGACATGTAGAGAAGTACAGGTGTACTGGCGTATGGTCTGGGATTAGGCAATAGAAATGACTAGCAAAACATTCAGTACAAACCGGAGACATTACTATTAAGAATACTACAGAAAAATGTAAATAAAGAGGACACATATTTAATTATCCATGTGGTCACAGCAGCAAGGATACTATTTGCTCAAAAGTGGAAAGCAATGGAAGTACCGAGTGGGGAAGCACTAATAAAGAAAATTATGTACTGAGCAGAACTAGATAGGATAACTAAAAGATTAAAAAATCAGGAAGAAATAGAATTTTATCGAATATGGAATAAATTTTATAGATGGAGAGAAAAAATGGAGGTCACAGTAAAGAGATAAACTGAGATAGAGACTAGAAATGTGTAGTTGTATATAGGTATATTATATGTAATTAATGTACAATATGGACTAAGATGTCAGTCAAAGATGATTTACCATGCTCAATGTTTTTAATCCTTTTTTTCCTTTGTACTTAATAAAAATTAAAAAACAAAACAAGGACTACCTGTACAATAGAAATCGTTATGTCCATGCTGTAATATGGAGAGACAGGACTGTGCAGGGTTGAAGGAGCTCTCATCCCAACCCATCTTGTAGGATTGCTATTAAGGGGATAAAATTAAACACTATTCTCCTAATAAATTACCTTAATCTGAACTCCCAAGAAAATGGCAGAGTACCTGTCAGAATCCAATTATATTTCATCTCTAGTTATCAATTATAGAAAACCCCATTTCTGCCTTCTCTGGATTCTGTCATACAATGAAGGGAAGGGGGTGAACAAAGGGGCTTTATGGCCCTCACTTCCTTCGGTACAACTTCAAAGGGATTGAATGTGGATAGCACCAAAAAGGCCTAATCATAACAAAGGGGGCTATTACCTTTCATGTAGTTTTCTCTGAAGTCTCCATCCAGCCGGCAGTAAGGAAAAAGGGGGTGGGAATGTAATGCCTGAGACTGTTGCTGGAAGTAGGGGGGGATTGGGTGGGGCTACTGGGAAACCCCTTAAAACCTTGAATGGGAGAGCTTGGACCCCAAGTCCTGTATAGAACGCCTGCAACCATTTTCTCTTAATAAAGGATTCCTGTTGGAAGAATTATTCCAAGCGTTCTGTCTTCTTAAGATGCAAAGTGGGGTGGGTCCTTACAGTACCTCTCTCAATAGTTCTAATAACTTCAGAATAAAAGTTCCTTTACCTGAACACTGGAGAGACCAGGGAATGGTAAACTTCTAGAAAAGAAAGGTTTCCAAAATTTGGGTTTGTTGACATCAAAGTTTATTCTTAGTGGGGAATCATACTGTTGAATATTAAACCAAACCTAAGAGGGAAAAAAAAACTTCTTTAAGTATTATCTCTGTTATGAAGTTGTAATTCAGAACTAATTGGTTTGAAGTGAATCCACAAAGCCATGGAGGCTTCTTTTACCTTCACCCAGATAGGGGTGATATGGAGGATCTGTTTAAACATTATCTTGCTCTTTCTGACTTTAATTTGAACCTCTGACACAAGTGGCAGGATGTGGCCAATAAGGGGGAAAAACTCAACTGAAATCAACAGAGACATTTGGAAGCTCTCCGGATCCAAGCCTAAACATATTACCACACACTGCATTGCCACCATAAAAGGGTCTGGTAGAGTACATCATATCTCCAGAAAATGATGAAAAAAAATGAAATTTGCTTCTGCCTGTTGATTTGCACAAGTCATGATACCATTTGCTTGATTCTGGCTCTTGAACAGAAAGCAACCACAGCCCTTGTTTCAGCTTTGAATTGGTTCACTTGGAAAATAATTGTCACCAGCCTTCTGGGGTGGAGAAAGAAGGCACCTACTCTTTCATATGACTATAAATAAATCTTATGTCAGCTGGAGCCAGGCTGACAAGCTCAGCATGCACTGGATGCACAAGATATTTGTCAAGAACCTGCTTGGCAACATCAGCGAAGCAATTCCAGAGAACATCTTTTACATGTGGATTAAATTTCATGTGTCCTCAGCTACAGAGCACATCTCTTGGTGGAGGTTAAAAAGAAACCTATGTGTAGGCAAACCATCTGTTATTAAGCCTATGTAGCTGACAGGAACTGCTAAGCTGTGCTAGCAGGGCAGCTAGAGGATGATTCACTTACATTGTCTGCAGAAATCAAACAGCTGACCCTTTTCAATGGACAGAAAGCATCATATTGTCCATAAAAGTGTCCACGGCTTGGATTCCAAATCACATATTGGTTTTGTTCCCAAGTTAACACATAAGCTGTTGGTCCCTGGTGGGAAAAATAAAGTTATTTACAATTTTCAATTTTACCTTTCCTCTTCTACTATTTGCCTATCAGTGCTTAAGACACAAATTCTGAATTAGCTAAACTGGAGAAGAGAAGACAGACTTTCAGGTGAAAAGTCCAGTCATTTCAGTGGAAACTAAACCACTCTAATAAGCCAATGGAAGAACATAACAGAAATCCAGTAATCCAGTTCAGCAGCATAGAAGGAAAATTTTCTTTTGGAAACTCTGGGACAACCTGATCACTGTACATGGGATAACTTCAGAACCAGGATTTTTCTTTGTTTCTAAAATCAATATGGACCATGACTGACGAGGTAGCATGTTTTCTCAAGCAAGGAAGTTTTATTGAAATGCAAAGCACAAATGCCTTACCTCCGGAACAGCATTTCCAATTAGAAGCCAGGCCTTTTTGCCAAGAGCAAGAAAATAATTACACAACAGCACAGCATGTTCTTCTTCATCTCCAGCCAAAAGATCAAGGAACTGCTAACAAGTGTGAGCAAACAAATGATGCTGTTAAGGACTATTTTGTATCACTGAATATTTTGGCTTAATTTAAATTCCACCTAAGGAGATAGAATTATGAAAGGGCAGCTATAAACTGCTACTACTTCAGCCTTCAGGGATCCTAAAAGGTCATATTATGCAGCAATTCAGTTTTTCCACTCTCCCCAAAGGTGGTGTATGTAATCCAACATTAATGCCAACAAATATCACAACCCAGAGCAACTTTTAATTATTCCACACACACATACACACTCCATTGTTTTGGCATAAATAATTACAAAAGAATTTCCTTTGATGATACATAGTTCTAGACATTTGAAACTTTTAACTTACATCAGAGGTACTCCATAGATCACAAATTCCAACAAATGATACTGTATCGGGTAAGAATGGAATCAGGGCTACGTATCGGGCAAGTAATTCCTATGAACAAAAAAGCAAAAGCAAAATCCTCTTATTAGCCTGAAGCTGAAGCTGCTATTGTTATTTTAAAAACAAGACTATATTCTCTCTTCAGAAATTGTGGATCTCTCTTGGTTTCTCCTGGGCTTGTTGCAGGCTAGATCAGGCTTTCTTCGAGATTGGTCCAAAATAATTCAGTTTGGCTGCACCAAGTCAGGTCGGTGTTCTTGGGCTGACTGGTTCACTTCTCAGGATGCCATGAAGTAGGCCCATTGAGATTTAATGTTAGGAAAACAAAGAACTGAGGGGTCCTTGGTGCTCTCTAAGCTTGGTTGTTTTCTTGTAGATGTTTCATTACTCAAACTAGGTAACACTAGCACTGATGATATTGCCTAGTTAAGTAATGAAATGTTTGCAAGAAATGACCAAGCTTAGAAAGCACAAAAGACTCCTCTTTTCAACCCTGAGCTACAAATATTCTCCTTTATTGAAGCAAAGAATTAAATCTTGCTTTGCATATTACAGATGTAAGTTTCCCAGAGAATAAAAATACACACAGAGGTTTGTTGTGGATTGTCTGGATGAACTCGTAGGAGCTCTTCTGGGGGGTTGAGGGCTCTGATGAATCTCGTAACAAAGAGTGTTTTTCCACTGATGTCAATTACAGTGGTCAGGCATTGTCGATCTGGAAATTTCAGGGCACATTCAGCTTTGTATCTTTCAGCTGCTTGAAGAAGCTTCTCATCTTCTTGAGTGTCAAGCTTGAAGAAAAAAAATCCAGTTTTTTTTAAAATGTTGCAACTAATGCATCAGACCTAAATATCTAATATGATCATAGCCACAGACCACTCCTTTCATGATTAATGCTTTGGATAAAAATGATTCTTGTTATGGATGGAAGAGGGGCACAGGATATTCAAAGGAATACTTTGATTCAATGAAACTTCAGCCAATATTTTAAATCTGATTCAATCGCTCTTTCATAGTGTTTTGTGTGATTTTAATTTTATTCCAAAAAGGATCTCACTAGCAGGCAGAGTTAGTACCTGTCCATGATTCTTAACTGCATCTTTTTCTGGAATTGTACAACAGTCCTGTGCAAATGCCAGGAAGCTTGTCTTAATTGAGACATTTTTATCAAGTTAATAAAACATGGGGCACTGAAACACACATTTCTAACTATAATTCAATGCCAAATAAACATACAAGTTTGACTTCTATATATCTAGTTCACAATATATTTCTCTCTTATTTCACTCTTTCACTTGTTTGTATCTCTTCAATTTCCTATTTCTCTTTTTGATTCATTTTCCTCTTCCCTTTTCCTCTTCTCTGTAAGTTCTGAAAATAGTGCAGTAATATAATAATAGTTGTCACAGCAATAGTGTAACAGTAATAGTAAAGACTGTGGAACTATCAGTATATTTTATCTGTATAGTATATTTTATCTGTATAGTATATTAAATAATCCTAATTCCCTACTCTGTCTCAGCACCAAACATACCACCTTAGTAGCACAGTGTGTCTTGGGAGTTTTTCGATGATTCCTACATCTTGTAACACGTATGATGTGAGGGAAGTTAGCCCAGAGAAGGAAATATTAAAAAAGCAGAAAAATATATTTTTCCTCAAAAGGACTTTTAAAAACCAAACCTGGCCCCAAATCTATCTCTCTGCCCCAAGCAAGAGCTAGGCCCATACAAATGCAGATGTAAAACCATCAGAAAGTTGGAGGCAGAGCAATCAAGAAAACAAAAGAGAAGATCTGCATACCCCACTCAAACTCTAGGAGTCAGCCCCATCACCTGGGAAGCAGGATATGATAATAGAATTAAACCACAGGGATATCAAGGCCTAGACCAGCGGTTCTCAACCTGTGGGTCGGGACCCCATTTGGGGTCGAACGACCATTTCACGGGGGGTCGCCAAACAAGACTGTCCGCCATTTTTCCCCCCTTTTCTTTGGCCACGCCCCTGGCACCCGGTGATGTATAAGCGGTTGGGGGTCACCACAACATGGGGAACTGTATTATGGCATTAGAAAGGTTGAGAACCACTGGCCTAGACAAACACTTAGAAACAGCCTCAAGGTTCATGCCACAGGAACAGGAAACTATTCCAAACAAGGCTAGAGGGGGTATAAAAGCCTACTGCCCCATGTGCTCAGCCCTTCTCTCTTCTCTGCACTTTCCTGAAGAATCATCTTTCTGCAATAAACTGTAACCTTCTTCCCAAAGCAGTCGCCGTGTTTGCTTATTTATTCCCGGCTTGGATGAACCAGGATGAAGACTTTACTTCTAACAGATGGACTACATTACTAATGTCAAAACAACCCGACACTTATTTTGTTCTATATAAACAATATTTTTAAATATACAAGGAAACAAATGCATGGCAAACATAAATAGTTCTAACCAAGCCCTGTATTTTTTTTTTTTTCAAAAAAATACATTTAAACATCATTTACCTTCTTCAACATTTCATTCACCTACACAGATTCAGGAAGGCCAGCAAAAAATGGGGGAAAAAAGATATGAACAATGAAATGCAACAGTACAGAATCATGTGAAACAATATAAAAAATAAGCTGCTAAAATAACAAGGGCAATGTTTAACTATTTAATTATTGTTTTTAGAAAAGTAGGAAGGAACTGTGATTATTAGGAAAAGCAGTGAGCTTTCTAGCAAGACGTCATCATGGAAAGGAAAATCTGTCCATGTCTACTGAAACTAGATGACCGAACTCACTCTCAAAAGTAGTTATGTAATCTTTGTTTCAAAGAAATCCTTCAAAATTCTGAAATCAAACCATCAACAGAAGTCTACAACAGTAATTGGACCTGAACATGTATTTTCTGATTAAAAAAATGGGTTAAGGAAGAGGGTTAAAGTTAATAGCACAAGAATTCCAACAGGTACTTTTGTTTCCAATTGCGAATGTTATAGAAATAAATATAGGTACATAGATATAGAAATATAGATATGCAATTCAAAACTGTTACTTTGGCTTGTTTTTTCCTAAATTTATGAAGATATGACAAGAAGGGAGAAACTTTGTTCTCTGGAGAAATATATTGAATGCCCATCCCAAAACAGGCCTTGTACTCCCTCTGTCAGCAGTGTGGACCTTGAACTTATGAAAATATTGCTTCACTCTCCCAAATGTCCAACTTTATCCTCATCTTTCCAGCTGCATCTTCAGTTATTTCTAAGTGATGATGGTTCAATAGAAACTCTAGATCAGTGATGGCGAACCTTTTAGAGACTGAGTGCCCAAACTGCAATCCAAAATCCACTTATGTATCATCGGGTGCCAGGTGGGCATGGCCCATTGGGTGGGCATGGCCCATTGAGTAGGTGTGGCCCATTGGGTGGGCATGGCTTTGATGGTAATGGCAGACTGTATAGGACTAAAAAGTTCAATCAAACAATTCCAACTTTGCAAAATCTTTTTTTTCCGCGAGAAGTTGAAATTGATTGATTGAACCTTCTTTTTTTTGCACACGGCGGTGGAGGCCTAAAGCAAAAAGGTTTTATAAAACCCAGCTGAAGGCCTAGGACTGGGGTGATGGCGAGTGTGCCCACATAAAGGGCTCTGCATGCCACCTGTGGCACGTGTGCCATAGGTTCGCCACCACGGCTCTAGGTCATATGCTATTATACTGTTCTCAATATAAGGGTCCTAGGTAGACCCTTACATATCTTGTCACGAAGAAATTTCCAGGTAGAGCAGCGGTCCCCAACTTTTCCACCTTGGTGGCCTGGCACAGGGTGTGTGCCTCACATTGGTGCAAGTGGTGGGTGCACGTGCCCTCCACTCATTCAAATGGAGCTTTACACGTGACTGGAGTGTAAAGTGGAGTGAAGCATGAAGCTCCACTCATGCGAGCAGAGGATGCTTCTGCTCGTGCACGCTCCATTCACGCAAATGGAACTTCGCATATGAGTACTCTCTGTGCGTGAGCACAAATGCCATCCACTCAAACGCCTGCCACTAGCATAAGTGGACCTTCATGCGCAAGTGCCCTCCATTCGCATGCAAAGCTCCATTCACACGAGTGGAGGGCACACACATCCACCGCTCGCATCAATGGAGCTGTGTATGTGCCCCTGCCACTCACACACACACACACGTGCCAGGCCTGGCCACCAAGGTGGAAAGATTGGGGACCGCTACTCTACCTGGAAATTTCTTCATGACAAGATATGTAAGGGTTTGCCTAGGAGCTTTATATAGAGAACAGTATAACAGCATATGACCTAGAGTTTCTATTGAACCATCATCACTTAGAAATAACTGAAGATGCAGCTGGAAAGATGAGGATAAAGTTGGACATTTGGGAGAGTGAAGCAATATTTTCATAAGTTCAAGGTCCAGGTAGAGCAGCGGTCCCCAACCTTTCCACCTTGGTAGCCAGACCTGGCGTGTGTGTGTGTGTGTGTGTGTGTGTGTGTGGCAGGGGCACATACACAGCTCCACTGGTGCGAGTGGTAGATGCATGTGCCCTCCACTCGTGTGAACGGAGCTTTGCATGTGAATGGAGGGCACTTGCGCATGAAGGTCCACTTATGCTAGTGGCAGGCGTTTGAGTGGAGGGCATTTGTGCTCACGCATGGAGAGTACTCACATGCGAAGTTCCATTTGCATGAATGGAACGTGCACGAGCAGAAGCATCCTCCGCTCACGTGAGTGGAGCTTCATGCTCCACTCCACTTTACACTCCAGTCACGTGTAAAGCTCCATTTGCAAGAGTGGAGTGCATGTGCGCCCACCACTTGCACCAATGTGAGGCACTCACATATACACACACCCTGCGCCAGGCCACCAAGGTGAAAAGGTTGGGGACTGAGAAATTTCTTCATGACAGGATATATAAAGGTCTGCCTAGAGTCCTTATATAGAGAAGAGTATAACAGCATCTAGTCTAGAGTTTCTATTGGACCATGACCACTTGGAAATAACCGAAGGTGCATTTTAAGATTACCTTAAGACAGGGATCCCCAACCTATGGGCCGCGGCCTCTTGGCCAGTGGGCCGCAGAAATGGTTGGCTGGTGCGCACATGCATGGGCGTGCATTCCCCATTCGCGCTAATGCCCGCGGCCCCATTTGCGCATGCGCGTGAACAGGGCTGCTAGTGCGGAGCGGGTATCCACGGCCCATTTTCATGTGCTGCTACCCTGGGTGGATTGTGAAACCTGTTTGGGCATGTGCGAATGGTGCCACTAGCCACCGTGGGGGTGCGCGGCCATTCATGCATGCACATGGCACCAGCGCATGTTGCATGCCAAATGCGCCCACTAGTACTGTGCCAGTGTGCATGGCCCCATGCGCATGCATGTGTGCACCAATTTTGAAGTTGCTCTCCTTCCCTCCAGTCCGCGAGCCCGGAAAGGTTGGAAACCTCTGCCTTAAAACATCCAAGGACTGCTGTGGAATATTATCCAACCTGATTAATGTGAAGGCGTTACAAAATTTTAAAATTGGAATGGATAAGTATGTGGTTAGAAAGGATCCTTTTAGAAGCAAATGATAAATACTGGGGTGTGACATATTACGTAGGCTTGTTTGGAAATCTAAATCCTAGATTTGTTGTTTAAGGGCAGTTCTAGCATTATCAAAGCCTAATGTGCACAGGCCTTCTATAGACCAGGCAAGCAACTCAATTTTATCTAGGGTTTTTTTAAGCTACGATGATTTAAAGTGATCTCTAAATAGTGATGGGATCAAACCTACAAGAAATAGAATTAACTTTAGTCAGAAGGTGAGACGAAACCATGCTCTGGCATCCATCTAAACTATGTTTCTATTTGTAAAATGGCATTTTTGATACTATTTGGAACTATCAACATGGCTCTAATAAACTTATTTTGTTTGGTTTTGATAATATTGAGTTTTGTAGGGAGCGAATTTGGGAACAATAAAGAAGTTGTGGGACTACCTTAGCTTGGAAGACTTTGTAGGCTGCAGGAACATTATGGCTCATTTTGAATGATAAAATCTTACAATAATTGTAGAGGTATGTTGTACATGCCAGGATAAATTGCACTCCAAGATATTTATAGGTGCACATCTGTTCAACTGGAGTCCCATTTATTTGCTAGTTGTGGATTTTATGAAAATGGCAGGCAAACCCCTTCTAGATGTCCAAAATACGCCCAGAAATAAAACTTGTCCAGGTTTACCCTTTCTTGAACTGATTCTCCAGGAATGAGTTGAGGTTCAATTGTAATGTACAAAGAAATGTAGGAACCATCACTCAGATGATGTATGGAATCATATTTTCTGTCAATTTCCATATTTTTCCCTTTGCTATAGCCAAGAAGAATGGGAGGAGTATCAATCTTAAATGTGCCATCAATCTAGATGAAGAGAAACGAACAGTCTTGAGTAAAAATAACAATAGCAGTTAGACTTATATACTGCCCCGTAGTGCTTTATAACACTCTCTGGGAGGTCTACAGTTTCAGCATATTGTCCCCAAAATCTGGGTCCTCATTTTACTGACTTCGGATGGATGGAAGACTAAATTAACCTCAAGCCCATCAGGATTGAACTGGGAAGAGTTAGTTTGCAATACTACACTTTAACTACTGCACCACCAGCGCTCCTTAAGCATTAATAGTCAAGGATGCTGCAATAAGTTATTTACATGGATGTTTGTATGTAAAAATGTTTTCTTCAGCACTTACTCTTCCTTGAAAATATACTGTTGTAAATGGTATCCGAACCAATCCAAGCCAGCGCTTTTCCATACAGGTATGGACCCCACCATTTTCTCTTTCGCGATCATCCTAAGAAAACAGGTGCAGAAACGTAAGGAGTTGGAAGATGAGATTAAATTAAAAGAAAAAGTTTTAATTTTGAATCCTACAGATGAGAAGATTAAGGAATCTATAAAATTGCTTAAATCGCAATTTAATATGTTAATGGCAGATCAGACTGCAACTAACTTACTGTACATGAAACATAACACATTTTGTAATGCTAATAAGCCAGGGAGATGGCTGGCCTATCAATTGCGAAAGAAACAGAAGTTGAGAATTATAGACAAAATAAATTATAAAGGTAAATTGGTATTTCAGAAGGACTTGATTAAGAAATCTTTTTTAGATTATTATAAAAAATTATATATGGGTAGGAAAGTACAGGCTTTAGATATAGATAAATATTTACAAGATGGTCATTTTCCTAAACTAACAGAAGATCAGAAACAAGAAATCAATAGATTAATTACCACGGAGGAAATTGTGACAGCAATTAAAGAATTAAAGTTAGGTAAGGCACCTGGTACTGATGGACTGACATCAATTTATTATAAGACTTTGATAGATGAGTTGATAGAACCTCTAAGAGAACTTTTTAATAATATATTACAGGGTTTAGAGACTCCCTTTTCTTGGGGTAGAGCTTTTATATCTTTGATTCCAAAACAAGATCAAGATCTTACGTTACCAAAGAATTATAGACCTATATCTCTCTTGAATGTAGATTATAAGATTTTTTTCGAAAATTTTAGCTAATAGATTTATGGTTGTGTTGAACCAATTAATACATATGGACCAAACTGGTTTTATAACTGGAAGGTATATGAAAAATAATGTCAGACAAATTATTAATTTAATAGAATTCTATTAAATTCTGCAGGATTGATATTTTTAGATGCTGAAAAAGCTTTTGATCAATTAAATTGGCAATTTATGCTAAGTGGTTGAGGAAATGAATTTTGGAGATAAAATTTTACAGGCCCTTCGAGCTATTTATCAAAAACAAACGGCACAACTTATAGCTAATGGAAGTTTATCAGAGGTATTCCCAATTGAAAAGGGGACTAGACAGGGTTGTCCATTGTCTCCATTGCTGTTTGTGTTAACTTTGGAAATTTTATTGATTAAAATTTGGGAATCATCGACGATAAAAGGAATAGAAATTAACAAAAAAGAATATAAATTAAGGGCTTTTGCAGATGATCTAGTTGTTACATTATCTCAACCAACTTATTCTGTAATGGAGTTGTTACAATTGATAAATCAATATGGACAAGTTTCAGGTTTTAAAATTAATAACAATAAGACTAAAATATTGCCTAAGAACATGACCAATTTGGATAAGGAGACATTGATTAGATTGACAGGCTTTGAGGTTGTTAATAAGGTAAAATATTTGGGTGTTATTTTATCTGCTTCCAATTCAAAATTGTATAAAAATAATTATGAAACGCTGTGGGTTAGAATACAAAAGGATTTGGATAATTGGAAAAAGCTGCAATTGTCCCTTTTGGGGAGAATAGTAGCGATTAAAATGAATGTGCGGCTAGGTTGTTAATAGAGCAATATTGGAAGAAGGAATTTTTGCCTACTTTGCAACAATGGTTTTTTAAAGTTTCCTACTTAGCGGAAATGGCAAAAATTTCGGCTTTCTTGAAAGATCAATCGCAAGAGAAGTATCTTTCAGTGTAGAAAAGATGGATAAATTTTATACAATATAAGTATGATATAAGAAAATATTATCTAGCTTTTGAATAATTTATATAAGTTTAAGATATTATTTAGAAGTGTAATTGTTATTATTCTTTAATTTTTTAATTCTTTTTTTATTTTATTTTTTTATTTTCTCTTTTGTTTTTCCTCTTTTTGTTCTTTATATATAATGGAGTTAAAGTATTTTACAATTTGTTTATTGAGTGTAATTATATTTGCTTAAGGTTTATTTGGGTTTAAAACTTTTTTTCTTTTAAGATCTAGTTAAGCCTGTATTCAGCTCTGGGAAGAACAGGGGAGGGTTTTGGGGTGGGTTGGGAGGGATTGGGGAAGGGTTTTTTATTGTAAAACTTTAAAAAAATTTAATTTAAAAAAAAAAGAAAAAGTCCCAAAAACCCTGATTAACATTTGCAAAAAGAACATGCTGCACTTCCTATTCCTTCTCCTAGAATTCTCTAGAATTTTATGTATTTATTTAATTTGCCAAGTTACAAAGCTGTCCATCTCTCAGTTGTGACTCTGGGTAACCAAAATACAATTAAAATCAACAAATAATAATAATATAACACATAATAGCAGAATGGCATTCAAAGATAATCCAATCTAGTTAATACATATAAAAAACTCCAAGACGGCAACGGTGAGCAGCAACTTCAAGCTTGGTTCTTCTTTTTTACTCTCTATTTTTACTCTCTTTTAATAATTTTTCTACTTCGAATTTTTAAATTGCACCACTTAAGAGGTGAGCTTTTTACTCCAGCTTTCTACTCCAGTTATAATTTAAAGAATAGGGAAAAGAAAGAAGAGACAGTCTGCAACACAGATTTTAACCAAGCCCTGAAGCAATGGAAAAGACTACACAACGAATAAGCAGACAACTTCAGTGAGTAACTTTGCCTCTACTCCTCCACCAGATTTTGCTCCTCCACCAGATAGATATAGAATTCATAACTTTTGGAGAGGGATCTGCAGGTGGAAGGAGGAAGTCAACAGCTTTTAGAACTGTCTCCCTCCTTGACAGAGGATGCCATTCTCCCCTGACTCCCACTGTTTGTTCACTGTTTGCTTATGCAGGCAGGGATGATATGAACCTAACAAGGGAAAATGTAATGGGCTTTATATCTAAACAATGTCTGCCTACAGCGCAACAGTGAGCTCAATTTTTGATCTTTTAATCTCAATCAAAAAAAAAACTTGACTCATTAAGGGAGTCCTTTGTAAAGTATACTGAAAACCACCTTAACATAGTAGAAGCGATAAAGAAATCTGTTGCTTACACCAATAAACTTAATGATACTAACAAGGAATTGAGAGCTGACCTCACTCCTGAGTCTACTAGAAGAGAAAGGAACAATTATAGTGAATCTAATTTTCGGGCATGAAAAGGGCAGTGATGAGAAAAACCTAATTATTACAGATCAACCAGATAACCCTGCAGATCTCCAACAACAGAGTTAACAGACGGTGATAGAACTTTAAAAAGGCAATTATTTGATCTTAGAATCAGCTGCTTCACTGTGAATGTCCTTTGATAGGACAGCTAGAAAGGCCAGCTAGAAAGAGGGTTGCAGGTGAATTTTGCTGACCTTTAAGCCATCTACAGTCCCTTGTATGCTTCTTAAAATGAAGCATTTTCTGAGCTCCTTCTCAATTTTCCCAGTATGTGTCTTCTGCTCAGAGAAAGCTATTCCACTTCTGGATTGTTTTTCCCAAAAGGAAACTTTCACTTTAAAACCTGAGTGTAGTACTTCGAAGCTAGATAACTCTGGAAATGTTTTGCCTGCAATGTCCTTAAGAAAGAAGAGCACTAATCAACAAACCATAAGGAAGCTTGCTGAGGTCTCGCTGGGAGAAAAATTGATTCATTTGGTACAATCCCAGATTTAGAGCAAGCAAACATTATATACAGATTAGACAATCTACGAGAAACATTGGGGATAATACGCTGTATAGTAAAATCACTAATTGATATGGCTCTACCATATATACAGGACTGTGGCAATATACTTAAAACAAATTGCTAATAACTTCCACAGCATTTAAAAAAACAGCCACATTGTTCATTACTGGTGAATCCCTAGTGTTTAATCCAGCCTCTGTAATTTACAGCCAAACTGTTGCCACAACTAGAGAATTCCAGGTATAAAGACCCCAAAGGAAAACTCCATTCTTTGTCTTCTTTGAACTCAGATGTGCTTTCAGCATGGCTCACAAATTGCATCCCCAGAAAATGTTTGTAAATCCCTATGAGGTTTAAATGAGGATGTTGAAGATTGGATTGGTAAAGATAAGGAATCCTTGCTACACTCTTGGCAACTTCCCAGAGTCAAAAGCCTGGTTTTAAGTATCATGCCATCTCTGGGGATATTTTTTCTGACATTGACATTTCTCAGTTTTTAACATCCCCTGCCGGGAAGCAGCACTGGCCTGACTGTGGTTTGTAGTCTGTGTGTGAGTAGTTGTTTGTACACCCTTACCTTGAATGGGAGCTGGATGGAGGATTTGGGGTGAATGGTCAGCGCCTGAGTGGCCAGTGAGAGGGACCAGTTGGGACAGAGAACAGTGTGCTTGTTGGAGAGGTGGGAGTCCTTGGCACTGAGAGATTTTGCTATAGTGCTGCGGGAGCTCCCTCCCTCACTGACCCCCAGGATGTCTGAGAGTATGAATGTGAGCGAATGGAGGGGGATGGCAGAGCTCTTGGCTCTTCGAGGAAGGGGGTTGGGGGGGAGAAAGAATGTTTATCTTGGGGGACATAAGGCAGGTTCATATATCACAGTGGAGAAGGGCAGGGGATGCTACAAGGACAGGCTGTTACTGAGGAAGATGCCCCCAATGTGTAGTATCAGTGATGTCCTCCACTGAGCTCATCCCCAATCCCTGGACAGCATACCATGCCCCCCCCCCAAGGCCCTGGGTTTCAGCTGCTGCTGCTGAATGCCAGGTTGGTTAGTAATAAAGCTCCTCTTGTTCAAGATCTTATTCAGGAGAAGTGAGCTGACCTGGCGTGCATTATTGAGCCCTGGCTAATTCCGGAAAGGGGGGGGGTTCCCTCTAGAACAGCGGTTCTCAACGTTTGTGTGACGGTGACCCCCGTCACACAAACGTTATGCGCATGCGTGACGGCCCCATGCGGGCGCGCATGCGCGGCGGGGCTCCCATGTGCAGCACGCATGCGTGGTGCCACCTCCATATGCGGGGCGCATGTGCGGCAGTGCCCCCATGCGCGGGGCACATGCGCGGCGGCACCCCCGGAGGGGAGAAAATGGCGGATCGCCGCCTTTGGCGACCCCCCAAAAATGGTCGATCGACCCCAAATGGGGTCGCGACCCATAGGTTGAGAACGCTGCTCTAGAAGATACAGGGAGCAAAAAAATTATTTGATTCCCTGCTGATTTTGTACATTTGCCCACTGATAAAGAAATGATCAATCTATAATTTTAATGGTAAGTTTATTTTAACTGTGAAAAACAGAATAACAACAAAAATCCAGAAAAATGAATTTCAAAAAAGTTATAAATTGATTTGCATTTTAATGAGTGAAATTAAGTATTTGATCCCTTATCAGTCAGCAAGATTTCTGGCTCTCAGGTGTCTTTTATACAGGCAACGAGCTGAGATTAGGAGCACTCTCATAAAGGGAGTGCTCCTAATCTCAGTTTATTACCTGTATAAAAACACCTGTCCACAAAAGCAATCAATCAATCAATCAGATTCCAAACTCTCCACCATGGCCAAGACCAAAGAGCTGTCCAAGGATGTCAGGGGCAAGATTATAGACCTACACAAGGCTGGAATGGGCTACAAGACTATCGCCAAACAGCTTAGTCTGTTGACAAGGTGACAACAGTTGTTGCAATTATTCATAAATGGCAGAAACACATGTCCAGCTGGGTTTCAGGTTTGGCAGCAGCCAAGACCCCAGGGCAGGGGAGGTTGGGGGCAGTGGTTATCAGAGAGTCTCTTTTGGCTTTCAGGAGCCTTGCTCTACAAATCTCTGGTTGTGAGATCATGTTTCTGTAGTTGGGTACATTGAATCAAATGGGATTGTTGCTGGTATACCAGTCTCCATGCTGAGCAGCAACCTCCCTGCCTGAGCTGCTGAAGGCCAACTAGGAGTTGGTGGCAGAGTTCCCCAGACTTGGTTCTCAGGGACTTCAATCTGCCATTTCTGGGTGCGGCCTCAGAAGCAGCCCAAGAGTTCATGGCTATCATGGATCATTACTGGCCCAAGTTGGGCCAGTGTCACACACCGGATTTGATTTTCTTGTTGGAGTGATGACAATATGACCTGGTGGGAAATTTAAGATTCTCTCCCTTGTCATGCCCTGGTATCCCTGAAGCTCTTGTATGCTTCCCCCCCTCCCCCACAGGGAGGCTGGACCCATTCAGATGGTATGCCCCAGGTGACTGATGGACCCTGATGGTTTCCAGAGGTGTTGCTTCATGGTTCTGCTGAAGCAGTGATGGTGACCTGGAATCTAAGGGTGGCCACAGCTTTGCACAGGATCACATTCGTGCCATCTCTCTTGACTCAACATTCCTGACTCTTCCTGTAATTCACAGAGGAATTATGGGTTCTGAAAAGGGGCAAGAGACGCTTAGAGCACCGTGGAGGAAGACAAGGGATGGTTCCAACTGGATATGACTTAGAGCCATTATTAAGGCCTACCTCATGTGGTAAGAGCAGCAAAATACCAGTATTTCACTGAACTTATTGCAATCTGGCGGCCCTATTTTGGGTTGCCCGTTCCCTCCTGGGTCGGGGGCTAGAGTGATCTTTTACAGGGCTGGGTAAAGGAGTATATTCAGCACCTGATGGACAAAGTCACTCAGATCCATTCCAGTTGGATCCCATTCATGGAGATAGTCCATATGAGATGCCCGTGGAGATTACTTGCCCTGTTATCTAGGAATGGTTTGATCCTGTTGGCCCTGATGAAGTGGACAGGACCTTGATGCTGTCAGTACCACCACCTGTCAGAGAGATCCTTGTCCTTCCTGGATGGTGAAATCCTCCAGCATGGTGACTAGCGGGTGGGTCCAGGCAGTGATTAATACATCACTAGAGGAAGAGACATTTCTGATGTGTTTAAGTTCACTTCCTCCTTAAAAAAAACATCACTGAATCCCACCTGTCTGGTCAATTTTTGTCCAGTTCCTAACCTTCCATTTTTAGGAAAGTGGTGGCCTGGCAGTTGCAGAAGGTCCTGGATGAAACAGATTATCTGGACCCCTTTCAGTCAGGATTCATGTCTGTTATGGGACAAAAATGGTATTGATCGTGCCTGTCGATGATATCTGGCAAGAGCGGGATGGGGGTAGTGCTCTCCTTGACCTCTCTATGGCTTTTGATACCATTGACCATGGCATCCTTTTGGGTCAGCTGCAGGAGCTGGGGCTGGATGGCACAGTCTTGCATTGGTTCAGCTCCTTTCTCTGTGGCTGGTCCCAATCGGTGTTGGTGGGGAGTGAGAGGTCCAATCACTGGCCACTATTTTGTGCTGTAGTACTCTCTCCACTCCTTTTCAATCTATATGCAACCACTGGGCGAGATCATCTGTTATCAAGGGTTGAGATAACTACAGTATGCCGATGATACCTGACTATTTATTTTCACTCTTGGTGACCCACCCTCTTGCAGTGCCTGGAGGCTGTGGGGGCCTGGATGGGGGAAAATAGGCTTCCAAAGACAGAATGGCTTTGGATATACAGGGCTCCAGGATCTGGGACATTGCCAGTATGGCAGTACAGGGAACTCGGGGCCTTGGGAGGCAGGCCCCCTGCCCAGCCCTCAAGCTCCTGAGGTGCCGAGACCCGTGGCCCGGCACTGCTTCCCAGGGGAGCCTGGCCGCACATGGGGCAGCTCCAGGGTTGGGCTCAGGCAGAGCAGGGAGAGGAGTCCTAGCTGCCTCTTGGAGACTGGGGGCTCCCACCCTTCCCATTTGCCAGGACCGTCAGGGTATGGCAGTGGGCGAGAGGCTCATCCTGTGTGTGCGGCAGAGCTGGAGGATGAAGTTGGACAGCGGAGGCCAAGCAGGCAGGGGCTGCAGTGTGACACTGACGGTGACCAGCTGGGCTGCCTCGCCGTAGCCCACTGTCTATCTTTGCTTGCCTGCACCTGCCGCGACCAAGATGGGATAAGCAGTTGCCCAGCACGATCAGCGGACTGAATTGTGTCCCTCCCCCACACCCCTGCCTCCACCTGCTGCTTGGAGGGCCAGCCCGGTGGCTATGGTGCTTGGATCCCCCATCCATCTTTGCTTGCCTACAGACACCGCAGCTGGGATGGGGTGGATGGGCAGGCACCCTCCATGGCCAGCAGGCCAGATTGCATGTCTGCTTCCCTGTGCCTCGGCTTCTGTCTGCCACTTGGAGGGCCGACCCGGCTGCCACAGCACTTGGACCCACCTACACTACATGGACTGAGGGACCCCAGGGTGTGCTGGCCAATGGGCAGCTGAAGGGCTTCGGCTGCTGCCAGGCCCTGCACACTCACTGCCTCCTGGGCGTGCTGGGGGGGGTCACTTGGCTGGCCTTGGGTGGCTGGGATCGGTCCCTCGTCATTTCCAGGATGGCCCCACAAGCCAGATCTGGGTCCATCGCCAGTGAGCCTTGAATTTGACATGTCTATTATAGTGGAAATAGGAGGAGGAAGGAGTATTAGATGTCAATTATTTATAAAATAATAACAAAGATTAGAGCTTCTGTAGCAGAGATAAATTCCTTGTGTATCTAGTCACACTTGGCCAAATAAGGCTATTCTGTCCTGTTCTGTCCTATCGTATCCTATCCAAAAATCTATTCAATACATAAAATCAGAGCAAAGATTCCTATGTTCACTGGTGAAAATAGTTCCAATATGTTTCCAGTGATGCACCCACAGTTACCAACACTCTAAAGAGCAAAACTTTAAAGTGCTTCTTTATTTTAATCCTTCCCTTCCTTTTCCCCTCACAGAAAGTGCTTGAATGTTCAAACTACTGACCTTCAGAATATCCAGCCTGGATATCCTGCAGAGAACACTTTGCTTTTTAGATCTGATTATTCTGTACTTGGGGCTCCATTTGGTGAGTATATCTAATCCCATGTTCCAGCACTTTTCATTTTGATTTCTCAACAGATAGGGTCAAGAGAATTTTTCAGATGATTTGCTTACCTCTAAGATATCATGCAGTACTTCATCAAAGATGTTAATGAAAATGTCATCCTTCACTGACTGCAGATTGGAGATGCTATAGTCATTGTTAGAAATTCTGTAACAATATTTAAAAACAGAGATACAGTACAAATATAATTTGCCATGCAATCAGCATGGCAAAGGCTTGTTTTCTCTTTCCTTCTTCCCTATTCTCCAAGACTAGCTCAATTTTTATAATGATTTCATCACAATACAAAATTGTATTATCCTGTTCCATTAGAATGGTTAGTAAAGTATTGGAGAGTTCAGAGGTTTGATTCCCACCCCAATCAGAATCCCAATCTTTCATTCAGATGCCAACAGAAGCTATCTCATTCAATAAGGGAATGATAAAAAATGCCAAAAGCTGGAAAGGGTAAGTGATATGTTAGTAGAATCAAGATCTGGAGCAGGATGAAGCTTTACCCACTCTTCAGCCATGTTTTCAAACTCAGTTCCTTTGTGATCTTTTACAGAGGTCAAAACTGTTTTTATTTTCAGAAGAATACAAAGCCAGTTTGTTATATTACTGGACACTTATTGGGAATTCATCTAAAGCAGAGATTCCCAACCAGGGGTGCTCGCAGCCCCTGAGGGTGCGAGACGATATTCCAGGGAGTGCGAAAACTTGGGTTTTCAAAATTATAGTGTATATGCATAATTTGTTGCTGTTATTTCGAACTTTTGTAAGGGGAGCGAGAATATATCAGAAGCGTTCTAGGGTTGCGGGGTATAGAAAAGGTTGGGAACCACTGATCTAAAGCAATTGAGATTTTCACACAAGATTTTCATTTGCTACTTTGTGAGGTACAGAATGAAATGCTACATAACAGGGATAGGTAACAGGGGCAAGAAGTTTTTCCAAGTTTGGCTTAAAATAACAAAGACCAAATCAAATCTCCCCCTAGAAGGAGGAGGAGGAGAGGGAGGGGGAGGAAAAGGAGGGGGAGGAGAGGGGGGAGGAGGGGAGGGGAGGGGGAGGAGAAGAGGGAGAGGGAGGAGGAGAAGAAAGAGGAGGAGAAGAAAGGGGAGGAGGGAGGAGGAGGGAGTGGAGGAGGGGGAGAAGGGGGAGGAGGGGAGGAGTAGGAAGAAGAAGAGGAAGAAGAGGAGGAAGAAGAAGGAGGAGGAGGAGAAGGAGGAGGAGGAGGAGGAATCAGCTGTGTCCAATGCCCTAGCTTTTCCCACCCAATGCAGTTCTTCTCCAGTGGAGATCCATTCACACCTAAATGGAAGTTCCAGCTCTTCACTCCAGTTTGGGTTGGACCCTTCTGCGGTGGTCGTCCGACAAACTGTTCTCTGGAAAGAAACCTCTACAAAAGGCCGAATTGAAACCTACAATTAAACAGAACTTAAAGCTTTGGTATGTTAGATAAGATGCAAAATTCTGATACATCAAACTACATTTTCCAACTGAAAATAGAAACTTTAGATACTTCCATGTATTGTAAACATACATTAAAATAAATATATAAATGGTTACTTTTACAGCCATACAGGATACTCTGAAAAAATTTTCCAGGATCAAAATTTTGTACTTCATGTAAATTTGGCTGTTTCAAAATAGTATATTTTATTGTTTGATTACTTATTCAATACTTGTTTCTAACATTCTGTGCTTCTAACACTTAACATTAATAAAATTTATCGGAACACCAAATATTATTTAAAAAATATTTCATTTAGTGTTCAAAGTTTATAAAATACATTTTCTCCCAAATCAAATAACGTAGACTATGAATAGACTAATTGGGAATATCTTTATTTACAAAGGGAAATCTCCTGGAAAAAATCTTTGAAAGCTTTCCAATTCAAAATTTACCAAAAAGACTACATCTCTATTGAGAATTTACAATTTTCCCTGAGAATGAAAAGTGCACAATCAAAACTGTGTAAGAATAAATACATTCCGTTTAGCACAGTCCGTCAATGGGTGTGTTTGTTTATCGAATATAGGCAGTGGGAATGGTCTTTTTCTTGTTTTTGGTGGTAGGATTGACCCAACAAAGATACTGTTATGATTTCAGTGCTAGGCGGATATTAAAATAAATCAAAACCATCAGGTATTTCACTTGCACATTACTCAGCATGGGGAGACCCAAATCTATTACTTTATGATCAATATATGGAGCACTATATGTAAACTGATATTATTTAACAAGCTAGAAAGAAAAAAACCCAGAAACATTTTTCAATAAAGTTATATACATTCTTATGAAAATGTTATTTAAATGCATTGGTAAATAGTATTTAAATATATTAAAGAATCTACTGGAGTTGGGCAGGCAATATAATAATTTAATTAGGAATATTTCTTCTATACTGATGGTTGCCTACAGCATAGAAGAATAATATACTGCCACTAGAAGCATTAAATCTATTTTTGAGTATTAGCAGCTATATTTATCAATTTCACAGAATGAACTGTTAAGGGATAGTGGAATGGTGATCCCTATACATAAAAAAAGAATATGGATATTGCTATTATTCAACTATTTATCCATTCATCCATTCCAGGTTAATGGCATTGTGAGGTACCTGGCTAAATGTCCAGTCCATACTGTGGTTGGGGCTGTGTGGAGTTGCAGAAGCAACAAACATCTCATTGAAAGCCCATGATGATTTACACGGCTGCTGAAGTTTGCTTTACAAAAAATTATAAAAAATGTCAACAAATTTCCAATAGGATTTAAAAAAATAAAAGAAAAACAATAAGTACAAATTTTGCAAAAGTGATGATGATATTTGCACAGCAATAATACAAATAAATTATTTCCCTTCCCTCTTGCTTTTGCTATTTTTTTCAATTTGCACATGTACACTCCACCCACCCAACCCCCCAAAACAATTTGGTTCGGCATGAACCAGTATAGGTTTACTTCCCCCGTACAGAGATATTAGTTATGCTACTTATATACTATACTGCTGATCTCTGTAAGTTAAAATGTAGTAAATGTGAATCAATTAAAAAAGCAATAACTCACTAAAGTTATTACAATACAAAGAAAAGTTGTAATAGCAGTGATAATGAAAAATAAAAATAATAATGGAATTAAAATAATAATGCCATGTAAGCATTTCAAGTGAAATAAATTAAAGATGGCAAGAACCAACTGTTAAACTAAATACTCTTCAGAGATGTTGTATCTCACGGGTGTCAAACTCGATTGTGTCACGTGACATATCATGACATACCATGATGTTTTTTGCCTTTGTGGAGCTGGGGTAGGTGGAATCTGCACGTGACACATACAGCCCACGGGCGGCCAGTTTGACACCCCTGCTCTATCTTATCTCAGTAGGTCCTGGAACAAAACCAGGTTGGAACCATAACTGGAAAACATTATCTCCTGTGGCCTCCCAGTCCCCTTATTTTACAAAATTTGCTTTTTTTTTCTCTGTAAAAAGGGGTGTTCAACTGCTAATTATTCCAAATATTGATGATAATCTATAGCATCTGCTGATCTAATAATAATCAGAAAGCTAATGAAATATTTTTGATTCTATATAAAATAGGTTTTGAAAAATCCTGAGAGGTTCACATATGATGGTTGGTGAAAAATAACCTTGGGATACAGGAGGAAAAGCCAGTCAAGGCAATCGTTACACAAGAGAGATTTCAGCATGCAGCAGGAATGGGGACCGGGCAATATCTTGGAAAGGACCTTCCCTAGTTTTGTGGAAAGTACAAGACAGTGGGAGAAGGGAGAGATGTGCTTTCAGACGTGCAAGCTGGATGCCATGCTCTTGAGGCAGTCCAGATGAGAAATGAAAACCATGAGTATTAACACTACTTCTGTTATAGGTAGTCTTTAACTGATGACCACAATTGAGCCCAAAATTTCTGTTGCTAAGCAAGACATTTGTTAAGTGAGTTTTCCCCCATTTTATAACATGTCTTGCCACAGTTATTAAGTGAATCACTACGGTTGTTAACTTAGTAACACTGTCAAGCTTGAAGTGCGTGCACAATATTGCTGCCATTACAGCTTCTTAGCTTGCCAATGCAATCGGGGGGGGGGGAGGAATAGAGTAGAATAAAGCTGGAAGAAACCTTGGAGGTCTTTTAGTCCAGGGCTTTTCAACCAGTGGTACGAGTACCACCTGTGGTACATTGGCACCTGGCAGGTGGTACGCGACCATCCTAGAAAAGTGGTAGCGGGGGAGGGGAATGAGCTGAACCGGTGGCAGCACTGCACAAGCCTGAGCGAGAGATGGCTGGAGCTGCAGGGCTGTCAGGGCTCAGCTGAAGCGCCAGGATCAGCGCCAGGCTCCAGCTGGAGCTCGGCACTGAACCTGGTGTTTCTGCTGAGCCCAGAAGAAGCGCCGATCAGCTGGATTGTTGCAGCATCCCCACGGTCTTGTGATTTACATTCAGATGTTTGGCAACTGATTCATATTTATGACGGTCACAGTGTCCCAGGGTGATGTGAAGTGACCAAAACCTGCTGCAACCACCCAGCAGACGGGGGGAATAAAAACCAAACACCACCCACCCCACCCCCGCTGCCAATCCTCAACAGAAATGCTCACAACAATGAAAACCTTGGACCAGGAGGAAGAGCGCTGCTGGGAGGGCAGGCAGGTGTCTTGCTCGGCTGTGGCTCGAGGGGGGCACTTTTTCAGTGCCATTGTAACTTCGAACAATCATTAAGCGAACTGTTGTAAGTCGAGGACTACCTGTACTTTATCACTTTTTTTCCTTTTTTTTTTTTTTTGGTCATCATGTTTTTGACACCTTGCTAGGCGACTGGTGGTACTCGGATATTGCCATATCCTAAAAGTGGTACAATGGGTGAAAAGGTCGAAAAGCCCTGTTCTAGTCCAGCCCCCTGCTCGAGCAGGAGAACCTACACCGTTTCAGACAAATGGCTATCCAGTCTCTTCTTAAAAACTTCCAGTAATGAAGTGCTGATGATTTCTGAAGGCAAGCTGTTCCAGTGGTTAATTGTCCTCACTGTTAGGAAGTTTCTCCTTAATTCCAGGTTTCTTCTCTCTTTGATCGATTTCCAACCATCGTTTCTTGTCTTACCCTCTGGTGCTTTGGAGAATAGTTTGGAGCCCTCTTTTCTGTGGCAGCCCCTCAAACACATCAGCCCTTTTCCAATCATTAGGTACTGCCCGGTGTCCCAGGATTTTTGAAAGATATGGTGCAATGGTTCTGAGATAACATCTGCCAGCTCCTTCATAACTCTGGGATGTAATCTGTTGGGTCTCGGTGATTTATATTCGTCAAGGTTGGATAGGAGTTCTCTTACTATTTTCTTGCTTATTTTAATTTTTATTTATAGTTGGGTCTTTTGCAGTATGTTGGGATTTAATTTCTTTTTTGTGTGAAAACTGATGCAAAAAATGAGTTAAGCAGCTCTGATTTCTCCCTATTGCCTGTTACTTCCTTGCCATTTTTTCTCTTTAGTGGACCTACAGTTTCCTTGACATTTTTCTTGTTATTAATATGTTAAAATAAACTTTTTTTGCTACATTGACAGATCATATTCCTGTGTGAATGGAGTTAGCCATGGAAAAAGAGGAGAGAAGATCTTGGAGGCTGAATGAGAATTTATTTAGACAAGAAATGAATGTTCAGAAACTTAAAGAGTATTTAAAGGAATATTTTATTTTAAATATGCATAAGGGAACTCCAATGGCAATGGTATGGGATGCAAGTAAAGCTTATATGCGTGGGGTTCTGATACAAATGAATAAGGCTTATAGACAAAAACAGATGCAAAAACGTAAGGAGTTGGAAGATGAGATTAAATTAAAAGAAAAAGTTTTAATTTTGAATCCTTCAGATGAGAAGGCAAAGGTATCTATAAATTTGCTTAAATCACAGTTTAATATGTTAATGGCGGACCAGACTGCAACCAATTTGCTTTATATGAAACATAACACATTTTGCAATGCTAATAAGCCAGGGAGATGGCTGGCTTATCAATTGCGGAAGAAACAGAGGTTGAGAATTATAGATAAAATAAATTATAATGGTAAATTGGTTTTTCAGAAGGAATTGATTAAAAAATCTTTTTTAGATTATTATACAAAATTATATATGGGCAAGAAAGTACAGGGTTTAGATATAGATAAATATTTACAAGATGCTCATTTTCCTAAGTTAACAGAAGATCAGAAACAAGAGATCAATGGACTTATTACCACAGATGAAATCATTATGGCAATTAAACAATTAAAACTAGGTAAAGCACCGGGTACTGATGGATTGACATCAATTTATTATAAAACTTTGATAGATGAGATGATAGAACCTTTAAAGGAACTTTTTAATAAGATATTACAGGGAACAGAGACCCCCCCCCATCTTGGGGTAGGGCTTTTATATCCTTGATCCCAAAAGAGGATCAAGATCTTACTTTACCAAAAAATTATAGACCTATATCTCTTTTGAATGTAGACTATAAAAAAATTTCAAAAATTTTAGCTAATAGACTTATGATTGTATTTAATCAAGTAATACATATGGATCAAACAGGTTTCATAACTGGAAGATATATGAAGAATAATGTTAGACAAATTTTCAATTTAATAGAATATTTGGATAAGAACAATCAGATCTCTGCAGGATTGATTTTTCTTGATGCTGAGAAAGCTTTTGATCAGTTAAATTGGCAATTTATGTTAAGATTGGTTGAGGAAATGAATTTTGGAGATAAAATTTTACAGGCTCTTCGAGCAATTTATCAAAGACAAACAGCACAACTTATAGTTAATGGAGGTTTATCTGAGGTATTTCAAATTGAAAAGGGGACTAGACAGGGTTGTCCATTGTCGCCTTTGTTGTTTGTTTTAATTTTGGAAATCTTGTTGATTAAAATTCGTGAATCATCTAAAATAAAAGGAATAGAGATTAATAAGAATAATTATAAATTAAGGGCTTTTGCAGATGATTTGGTTGTTACTTTGTCTCAACCAACTTATTCAGTAATGGAGTTGTTACAATTGATAAATCAATTTGGACAAGTCTCTGGTTTTAAAGTTACCGTAATAATAATAAGACTAAAATATTGCCAAAAAATATGACTAATTTGGATAAGGAGACTTTAGTTAGATTGACAGGCTTTGAAGTTGTTAATAAGGTAAAATATTTGGGGGTATTTTTATCCGCTTCCAATGCAAAACTGTATAAAAATAATTATGAAAGGTTGTGGCTTAAAGTACAAAAGGATTTAAACGATTGGAAAAAGTTGCAATTATCTTTGTTGGGGAGAATAGCAGCGGTCAAAATGAATGTTTTGCCAAAGTTTCTTTTTTTATTTCAAATGATACGTATTCTGAAGAAAGAGGCAAGTTTAGATGAATGGCAGAAAGGTATTAATAAATTTATTTGGGCAGGGAAAAAACCAAGAGTAAAATTCAAAATTATACAAGATGTACAAGAGAGAGGTGGATTCAAGGTACCGAATTTGAAATTGTATTATGATGCCGTGGTTTTAACACTGATTAGTGATTGGATTAATTTAACAAATGTAGATATACTCCTTTTGGAGGGGTGGGATTTATTATATGGATGGCATGCCTATTTAATTTATAATAAGAAGGTGGATAGGGCTTTTAAGTCTCATATTTTAAGAATTTCTTTACTTCGAGTTTGGAAGAAATATTATAGAATAGACTCAAGAATTCCAT